TATTTTCTACCCTTACTGAAGCCTTGAAAAGTTGGTAACTTTTGATTATTTTTATAAAGAAATTTAAAAAAAATGAGGAAGTGTTTAACACTATTTTTTCATGGGAGCCATTACCATAATGTCACTCCAGGAAAAGTACAGTGGGTTCAAAGAGCTTTTAACAGGCAAGTAGAGTGAGAAGGGTTGTTTCCTGCCCAGAACTGCCTGGTGGCAGGCACTAGCAGAGCCAGAGGGTCTGTGCACCTGGGCCTGGCACGCTGTCCTGTGTGCAGGAGTTCACTGGGACTGGGGCCAGGCACAGGCTCTGGAGATGAGTCTGGGGCTGCAGAGCTCTCACTCATCCCTCAGGTGTCTCTGCTTCCTCAGTGAGATGGGTGTTACCGCCAGGCTGCAGCCTCATGTATTTTTGGTCAAATTTTCATCATGTCTGTAAAAACATAATTAAAAAAAAAGAATATAAAGGTATACATTCCATGTTATCTGTCTGCTTTCCTTCATCCTGGGGGAGGGAGGAGAGCTGCTTGCTAGTTAAACATTAACCCACTAGCAAAGGTTGGTAAACTCTGTCACAAACAGTATGCAAACAGGGACACCTGCCTTTCTGTAAGGCAGGATGCTGAGGGTCACCCCCTTGCTATGCTGCTGATTTAATTCAGCTCCTCTGCTGCTCCTGCCCAAGAGTGCTCCCTCAGTTCTGTCCCCAGGTCTCCTCTGGCTGGTGCTGTGAGCTGTATTAATTTATAATTGACATGACTGGATAAGGCTGCTGAGGCTTTCAGCTCTTAGCACGGGGGCAGAATCTTTGCAGTGAGTGGAAGAGGCAGGACACCCACACAAGCAATGCTGTGCAAATGCAGAGAGGTTCATGAGGCTGTGGACAGGAAAGAAAAGCAGGAATTTTATGCAGTTCTCGGTTTCTAAGCTCCCTGATCTGTGCTGTTACAAAAGATGCTGAAGGTTACCTTACATACAGCATCCATAACACCATGTCACCTTGCAAAGAACCTATTTTTTAGAAATACTTGTTTTGCTTCACCCACTTTCAGGCTTGAGATAATTTCCAGATTTTTTTTTCTCTAAAAAGACTCCACACTTCTGTGCACAGGTGTGAGAATATTTATTTCTCTGGTGATATCAATTATTTCTACAACTGAAACTTCAACTCTAAGTCTGTTTTACGTAATAAAACAGTTTTTCTGAATTGTGAGTGAACTCAACTGAACCAGAGTTTCAGTGCTGCACAGTCTTTCCAGATTAGATTCAGCCACAGGTCTTTTTCTTCAAAACACTATTAAGAGGCTGTTTTGAGACACACAGAAAGATTTCTCTTAATTTCAGAGAGAGGATTTCTTCGACTTTTTTCCCCATTTGCCTTTTTTTTTTTCTTTAAAACAGTGTAATAATTTACTCAATGAAACAAGACATTTCCTTCCTCTACAAAGGATTGCAGAGAACCTGAGACCCCTTTGTTTATGGTATGTGAAAAATTTATAGCAAAACAAATGAGGAATCACTCTGAACTTGAGTGACTTCAGTGGCTGTTGGTGGAATTACATCTCTCCCAGAGCATTTGGATTGTGGAGGACTGGGGCCTCTGTGAGCTATTCCTCTCTTCCAGACCTGCGATGCTTAAGATTTTCATCTAGGCTCTACTGCAGCTTTCCTGCTTTAATCACAAAGCATATTGTTATTTCCACTCTAATTGTGAGACTAATATCCCACCAACTCGGTGAGAAAGCTGGAAAAGCCTTTAGATTACTGTGTAAATTAATTCAATGCCACATGGTACTAATTGCACACTGTCTTCTTGTACTCCACAGCAGGTAGATGTAGCATTTGCTGTCGATATAGCCATAATGACATTGTATTATTCATATTAGTAATTTACACTTACACAAAGCACATGAGGAAAACAGATAATAAAAATTATCTATAGATTTTTTTCAGATTACATGAAATTCATGGCTAGCTGTAAAACCTATTAAACTACTACTGCTGTCACTTGAAGGTATTTTTTGGTACTTGAGGAAGGGAACACTTCAGTGTTAGTAACAGGAGGTTAAGCCTCACATACTACATATAAAACTTCTAAATATTGATTCGAGGATGAAAGCATTCAGCTGAATAGGAACCATCTGGAAGGATGAAGAGAGTGGATGAGAATACATTAATTACTATGTAATGTGTATAAATTGGAAATCTTGGAATGCATTTGTCCAGTCTGCTTTGCAGGAAGAGCCTTCTTTTCACATTGATAATCACAATACATTTCTAACTCCTCCTCGGACATATCTGCTTTCTGACCTCTGTCTGTCCCAGCAGAGATAGCAGGGTGGCATTGTCTATGATGATGATAGTTCCCTGCAAGGCCAGCACTTGCACTGTTCTGGCTCCAAACCCCTGGATTTGCCTCATGTGGAAAAATTTTGAGAGTAATAATGTTTATAAGAATGATATAATTATTTTAAAACTATTTCCAAAGAAACCAGGCATGAGATGTCAGCATGCAGTACACTCGATCTGAAGTCACTGTTGCTTTCACTGGGGCTGGACTCTGCAAGGTGAGTAGGACAGTTTCAAACATCTAAGCACCTACCTCCCAACTCCTAGTATTTTCAAGACAAACTAGGTACCAATATTACTCAAAAATCTTAATTTTTAGTCGCCTTAATTCCTCTCACAATTAATTTGAAGTTCAATGTTTTGTTCTTCCTGAGCAGGCATGATGGGAAAGGCAAATAAGGAAGAGGAGTTTTATATGATGAAGAATTCAATCCAGTGAAACTTTTGCCTCTTACACAAAAGGAGGCATGAATGTGAGCACATTTCATCATATTCTATGATTTGAAACACTTTCAGGCTAGTATAGCTTGCAGCAGGAACTAAATCACTACGTTCCCTCTTGCTGACCAGATACACTACACGTGCAGAGGAGCACAGAAAGGGAATGTATTTTCATGCTGCTTAAGTCACAGATGCTATTCAGCCATTAGCATGTAAAGTCCTTGTCATCCCAATTGCTTAACAGCTGTGGTGCTAACTGGGAAGGAATTCTGTCATACCAAAAGCTGTTCTTGCACAGGAGATGTGGGGTTTGCCCTAAAATTCCTGATGGTTTTGGACAAGTCACTTAATTTGCGTTTTCTTCTGTAAAATGAAAATATATTTTTGCTTTCTCCGATTGCTTCTGGCTTTTGTTTGTAAGCTGTCATCTCAGGGAAAGATGCTTTCATTAGATAGGAATCTAAATACAAGTGCCTCATTAGATTTGGCTTTGTGGTGCAAGTGTAATTCAATTAATTACTGTAAGAAATATGAACCTAGTAAGGGTTATGCCCAGGATAATAAATACATAATTTCAGGGACAAGCTGCGGCATATTTCTCCGCTGACAGCTATCCTGTCTCTGTTACACTGTGCATCTGCTTTTCCTCCCAGAGGAATGCATTCAACACTGCTATGGTGATTGCAGTCATGCCCCCACTCAGAAGCCTTTCTGCAGATGTATCCTCACACAGACAGCTTGAGTTTCAGACTGACCAAAACCACAGGACAGAAGACAATCTTCCCCAGCTCTGTGCATGCAGCCTCTAAAGCACAGTTAAACCCGCAAGGCTTCTGAACTGCTCTAGTCTGAACCACTGATGGGTATCACTTGTGTTCCCACTAGGTCTACCCGATGCACAGGCTTTGCAGTGACATCCCTAACACGTGCCGCATCCTCCATCCTGCTGCAACACCCCACGGTGACCGCGACCCTCATCCCCGCCTTTCCACAGCTGGCACTGCCCCCACGCACCACAAAGCCGCCCGCGGCCGCTGGTTTGCCAGGGATGCCAAGAGACAGCCCCGGCTCCTGCGGCCCCGACTCCTCGGGAGCGCGGAGCTCAAAGGGAGAACGGACGCTCCAGACGGGGGGGGGAAATGGTACTGCTGGGGCTGCCTCGATAGGAACGGAGCGCGCCCCGGGACCACCCCTATCTCCCCACTTAAAAGCGCTCGCTAGGCTCTCCAGGGCTCAATGGATGCTTGGTTTGGGAACGACGAGCAGCCACGAAGGGAGATGGGCTCGGTCGGCCCCGTCCTGTCGCGCCCCGCCGTCCCTCTCCCGGCCCGTGGCTCCCGGGAGGTGGCAGTGTTCCCCCACGGAAGCCACCTGCCCAGCTCCAGGCCGGCAAGGGAGCCTCCTCCATCTATCTCCCTCTCACTCGTTTTCCGCTCATTTACGGGCAATGGATTTACCGCGCGTGATCTGATCTGTAACAGCCCCACTGGGGGCTTTTTCTTTGCGGGCGAGAAAGTTGCGAAGTGCCGCAGCACAGCCGGAACGCCGGGACTACAGAAAGCGGTGGCGATCACAGCATACGTATTTATACACGTGTATACGCATGTATGTCTATACACATATATAAATGTATTTCAATATACACATATAGATCTAGACATGAGGCAGAGGATCTCCAAACACAGCTACAGAGAAGCAGTGCCATTTACATTTTGTTCGTGCATTTCGGAGAGCTGGGTGGACAGACAGGTGGATGCGTACCGGCTATCCGTGTACCACCCCCTATCTGTGCACCAGCCCGTGCCCATACACGCTCACAGGCAGTGGCTACAGTCCCTTTAAATCCTCGCTCCTTAGGGGACAAGTCCGGGATTCAGGCCGCGTTTGCCAGAGCCGCTCGCAGAGGTGAGCAGCTCGGAGGGTCCTTAGAACATCTTCGGACGCGCAGCGGTTTCTGACGGACCGGCCGCCTCTCACTGCTCCACCGCAAGTTTCTCTTCCACCGTCACCCGCTCCGGCTCTTTATCAAAAGCCTCCTTCCCTTTCCCTTTCTTGCGCCCGCCCGCAACCCCAGTGCACCCCTCAGCGCGCTGCCCGGCGGAGGGGGGCCGCAGCATCCCCGGCGGGACACCGTCCCGCATCCCGGCTCCGGGCGGCGGGGTTCCGCCCCGACGGCAGCGGCCGTGGGCTGCGGGGCGGGGCAGGGCGGCACTCACCTGACGATGACATACATGACCAAGAAGTTGCCGAAGAGCCCCACGACGCAGACCACGGAGTAGAGGGCCATGATGGCGATGGCGGTGACCACGGAGGGGCCGCCGCCCGCGGGCGCGCAGGGCCCGCCGCCGCCCGCGCTGCCATTGCCGCCGCCGCAGGGCTCGGAGCGGTTCCAGCCCAGCGCCGCCGAGGCGTTGCCCCAGGCCGGGCAGGGCGGGCGGCAGGCGGAGGCATTGGCGGCGAACGGGACCTCCAGGGCGCCGGCGAGGAGCGGCGCGGAGCCGTTTCCCAGCAGGTAGGCGACAGCCATGGCCGTCTGACAGCCACGGCCTCAGCGCGGCCCCCCGCTCCCCGCGCCCCAGGGACGCCCGGCGCGCCGCGCTGCTGCCGCCGCGGTGTCGGCCAGCCGACGGCACCCGCCCGCCCCGACGGCGCGCCCCGCCGCTGGCTGCGGGCACATGTGTGCGGCGGGCGGGGCGGGCCGGGAGGAGGGGCCGTGTCCGCAGGAGCGGCGGGAGCCGCCTCCCCGCGCCCTCCGCCCGCTGCTGCTCCTCCCCGGCCGGCGGGACGCGGTGGCGGCCGCCCCCAGCGGCCAGCGGGGCGCACCTGCGGGGGGCAGCGGGCGGCGCGCCGGAGGTGTTCGCCTTCCCTGCGGGTGGCACTTGAAGGCAAAGCGCTTAAAATGTTCCTTTGCCCAGCGCCACAGGCATCGGTGGCAAACACCGGAAAGAGAGAACCGAGGGAAACTGACTTGGCGAGATAAAGGCCGGTGCAGAGATTGGAGATCAACGCGCGACTGATTATCGTAGTGAGACAGGGGTCTTGGCAAAACGATGTCCTCAGTGATTATAGAGATAACAGAACCTTGTTGAAAGGTGACGAACTTTACGGCAACACTTCGGAAGGGGTGGTTGTGAACAGAATTATCCTTTAGAAATTACTGGAATCTCAAGGATCCTTAGGATTTTCTGAGAACCTTCTGTTCAGAGCTCCAAGAATGTTCTCCCCTAGTGTTGGTGTGATTGTTATCAGATGTGATAACACAGATAAGAACGACATAAAAACCGTTCTCGAGCCGTACACTCATTGTTACTGGGGGCTTAATTTGCACACCGTTTGTTTTCACCGGCACCTTTCCCTGATCACTTGTTCCAAATGAGTACAGAGGTGCAGGACTGCCTGATGGCTGATTATTAGGACTTAGCTCATTTACTGTCTCACTAATGAAATCAGAAGAGATCCCTGGTAAGGCAGAAAAAAATATCTCCTGGTGAACAGGAAGGTGACAGAGCAGCAGTGATTGCTCCCGCTGCCTCATCATGGATGCGCACTTATTCTGCTCACCCTGTGCAGAGCACCTCCCGCTATTTCAAGAGTGGTAATGACAAAAGTGGAGAAGAGGCAAGTAGCAACCATAAAGAAAGATGCAGAATCCCTGGCATTTCCGTATAAGGGTTACCCATGTGCTTGTGCCACAAGCAGTGGGAGCCAGTGCTGCTCAGGGCAGGTAACAGTGGCGGAATTGACCACGCACTCTTTCAACGTATATCTGATAATTTGTGGGGAGGAAGAAGAGGCAGTGGGAAAGGGGTGTTACTGGACTTTGAGAGGGATACAGATATGGAGAATTTGTATTCCTTTTTTCATTCTAAAGGGAAATGGAAGGAGAAGAAAAAGTAAGCTATTAATGGGCACTTTCAGTAGATAGCATGTATTGCTTCATGGCCAGAGAGAGTATTTTCAGCATTGTTCATTGGGTAGGAGAGAGCCCATTTAGCCTTGCGTGTAGGATGAGTTTTAGAATAGGAGTTATTTTTGTCTCTGGAAAAAGCTGTGGACAAGTGGAAATGAAAGCAAGAACTCAGATTTTATGTGGTCAAAGACACTGCCTCTTTATCCCCTGTTGAAGTATAGCATGTACACAGAGCAGGAGGAACAAGGCTTTAAAACTGGGCTTTTCTCAGAGGCTTTCATCTCTGTGTATGTGCACAGAGTGTGGGAGCCTCTCTCTGTGCTTGCCCTTTGTTACACCAAAGCCATCAGAAGAGTTTAAGGTAAGCCACAAGTACAAAATTACTATTTAGCCCTTTGAACACAACTGTGCCTGGCTGTGGAAGGGATGGGGAAGATGGGGAGCAAAAATCAAGGCTGCCAGGAGATCCACTCCATATCTTGTGTCATAGCCAGATTTGTATCATCCTCACTATCAGAAGGCTATGCATTAAAAATGACATAAAAACGTCTTTTAAAAAAACCCTTAAAAACAGATGCCCAGGTAAATTGAGTGCTCTATACAAGTCTTTATGACTGCTCACAGAAAAGTGATTACACACAAAAAAAATATTATGCCCAAATAAATCAACCTTTTGGCTGGTGCAGATGAAATCGTAGGATGCAGAGAGGGCTGGCAAAAAGCCCTGGGAGTTGAGCCTGTTTAAGACAGGCCTCATTAAGCAAAATTTCAAGGTAGGGGAGTGATAGTTAAATGCGCCTCTTTGCAAAGTTATTACGTGTGTTATTTCCCAAGGACATAGGCAATGTGAAATAAATGTTTAGAATAATGCTTTCAGATGGTAAAGATCATTTTGCATGTAATAATGTGTGAGACCCTTTCTTCAAATAATTTCAGATAATATAGGACTGTGTAGCCAAGATTCTGGTGAAAGGGTGTTTGTGAAGTTGAAGACCAGTAATTCCTTCTTGATGGTAGTAGTTCAGATTTTTCCTTCTTCATAGAAAAGAAGCAGTCTCAGTCATTTGCATTATTTCTGTATTCACAGATCACCTGTGTCTAGATTTTGACAGCGACTCTGCAGATAAGGGCAATCTGCAGAGTGGCAAATACTATATCCATTAGCTGAAAATAAGTACTTTAAGTTTCAACATATCTGAGTTCTTCTGCCCTTGTAGAAAATAAAATGTCTCTTCAAAGTTTAATAAATGTAGCTATAAGTGATAGCTTTTGTTCTTGTATAACAAGTCTGAAGGGTGTCAGTTGGACCACATTGATGGTTGGATTAGATGATCTTTAAGGTCTCTCCCAACCTTGACCATTCTGTGATTCTGTGATATAGTCTTCAATTTCCTTATCTGGCAAGGCTACAAAGCAGATTCATGACAGTTTGTTAAGGACTGTATTAGCTGTCCTTGATAGCTATATTCTCAACTATCCTTGACAAACTAATAGTTTTACTTTTGCTGAGTTGGAGCTACATATTGAATGAGAAGAATGAAAGGCGTTCCAAAAAAACTACCACTGTAGTTAATGACATAAGGGCCCAGAGGAAGTTAGTGTGTGATATAATTTAATACAATAGTAAGGGGAACAGCTCAGTTCGTATAATCTTACATTTTCTAGTTCTTAGGTATTTTGACTCTGCAAGCTCAATTCTTGGTCATTGGTTAGGCTTTCCAAATCCAGTAGCTCAACAGAGGGGAGATTGCTGCAGCTCTGTGCCCTTAGGTCCAACTAATAGACAGACTGGGCTTGTATTCCCAACAGTCACGCCTGCAAACACCTTAATAGAACCCACACATAAACATATGCACAGAGCTGGCTCCACAGGCCAGCACAGACACAAGCAGCACTAAAAGAAGCACAAACTGCACCAACAGCCTCACCCTGCTCCCTTCTGGCTGTTCAGGGTGAAAATGTTCTAGTGGGAATATATATGTGTACATGTACACCATATGTCTCTCCTCAGTAAGCACCTGGATCAGACAGTCTGCCCAGGAGCTGCTTCCTGCATCCCAGCTGTTTGCACATGGACATAGGAGTCCTGAGGCTGCAGCCCCACTCAGGCTGTGGATATGGACTCACGTTCAGACACCCAACACACACATGGAGGGACACACTAAGGCCCCCTAGGAACCATCCTCAGACTCAGTGTAGCCAGTAGCTGGCCTGTATCCCTCCCTTTTCCTGCCTGTGTCTCCTCCTCCCTTCAGCATCCCATGACACATTTTTGTGCAATCCCAAGATACTCTTTTCCTGCATCCCATATTGTGTCCCATATCCCTAGCAGTGACACCCTACAGACTGAGAGGTGATCCAGACAACTGCTCCCCTGTGGTATTGGTTATAGTGCTTGGCCCATGGGGCTGAGGCTCCCCTGTGACAGCCTGGGGACAGTCTTAGGAGAGATCTCATTTCTCTGATGGCATTATCAGTGTTCCCCCACTGCCCTTGTGTCCTGGGGCTCCTTCCTGTGTCAGGAGATGGGTCCTTTTTGGGATGGTGGTTCCTCTGGTGGCTCCTGGAATAGCCATAGCAGAGAATTATTTAGGTTCCCCCACCTGCTGCTGTCTCTGTCTCTCCCTGCATGTGTGCAGATACAGGTCACATAACTTAAGAGTCATCTCTGGCAATCTCACTGCTAAATACTGATTTCTCTAATATGCCAGAAAGGCAGCATTAGGCATACACAAAGGATGCACCTGTTGGAGAAATACTGTCCACAGAGACTGACTACTCTGCCCACTCACAGATGGTAATGTAGGGAAAAATATTTGGCTTTTGCTGAAGGGAGGAGATTCAAGTAGATAATTTAAATACAGTTATATACTTCTAGGAAATCCTCAGAATGCACTAATAAAATATTTGTTATGGGCCTCACAGGTTCCACAAGGCATTCAAAAATAAGTGGAAAACTCTGAGCCATCATAAATTGCCCTGTGACAAATATAACTTCTAAACTACAGTGTAATGCCACTTTGGTAGCACTAAAAGTAGAGCATTATGTGACACTAAGCAATTGCCACCCATTACGTGATTAATGAAATTAAATAATACAACGTGGCAGAATAAAGAGCTGACTTTGATTCTTGGAAGGGGAAGACACTAGCAAAATCTCTAGAGAGTGGGCAGAGTGATATCTGGCTTTTTGATTTATCCATGTGATTTTATTTTGAGAAATAAAATATTTTAAAAACCAAAAGGAGAGGGAAAATGAGGGATTATGATTTTGAGAATTTTCCAATCTGTGTTTTGGTTAATTTTAGAAATGATTAAAAGTTACAGAATTTAAAATCTGACAAGCTCTACTTATTTTCTAATGAGGAAATAGTCTCAATTTCTTCCTGTATGAAGTGTGAGCTTATGATTTTTTCCATAAACTCAACTGCAGGATTTTGTTTCCTGACATGTTTATCAAATTTAACATTTCATTGCCTCTACCTGCTGACATTTCCAAAACTTTTTAGTGGGCATCCTATATAGATCTGTTTTTAGGACTGCATTATTTATTCTGTCCTTCAAATTCATGTCCTTTTCCATTTTAAATCTTTCCTTGTTTATTATTTCCTTTGCAT